CTCTCTTTCATCCACCTCTCCACTTATATGTTTATGATAAATATACATTAGCTTTATGGACGTGGATGTTCTTCCATTTGTCCATGCACATGTAGGAGTTACCCGCTGGCTTGCTAGAGTCGTGCGATATTAAGAGATCTTTGATCTCTATGGTTATAGAAGGGGGTGTGTGCGTGCGTGCGTGCGTACACTTATATGCTTTGCTTTTATGTATATGCATTAATCTGAGATCTGTGCTTTTGCTCATATGTATATGTATTGATTTGATTTTTATAGTAAGTTAGTGTGAATCTTGCCATCTTTGAATCTGTAGTTAAGTCGCTGTTTTGCTATTTTGTTAAATCACTCTGTAAACATTTAAATCATTTAATGAATAAGTGCTGCTAAAATTCAACCTCTTGATCTACCTCAAATCACTAATAAATTTTGAATCGCTGCTTAATCATAACTGTGTCAAATACTTCCATCCGCAACACCATGGAATAATCCATGCCCTTACCATTAAACCTTCACAACAAAGCCCCACACCAACTGTGTCAGATGTGGTCCCTGATGCATGCCAACACCCTAATTGTGCCTAAGAACTATTCAGGAGAATGCTATCTGATATCAGCCAGCACTGTGCTACAGATCAGCATAGCAATTTCACAATCCTGTTGTAGCAAACAGGAATAGTCTCCGTCACTGTTTTATTTAGTGATAGAGATGCGCTCTACAAAAGAGAGCATCAAAAAACAGGGTAACGCTTTTGTACTGGGCCTGGCTAGGATAGAGTTAATTTTCTTCATAGCAACTCATATGGTGCTGTTTTAGATTTTTGACCAAAACAGTACTGATAACACACTAATGTTAAAGCTTTTGCTGAACGGTGTTTACACCAAGGCCACCTTTGTTTCTCACTCTGCCTCCCAGTGAATAGATTGGGGTGTGCACAATGGGCTGAGAGGGAACACAACTGGGCAGATGACCTGAACTAACCAAAGAGATATTCCATAACATATAACATCATGCTCAGCAATAAAAGGGAAAAGAGGGAGGTTTATGGGTGTTAGCCATCTTTTGCTCAGGAACTGGCCGGGCATTGGTCTACTCACAGGAGGTGGTGTGATTGCCTTTGCATCACTTGTTTTGTTTTGTTCCATTTATCCTTCACTAATTAAACAATTATTTAATTTTGTTTGTTTTATCTTGACCCCCAAGTTTTCTTGTTTTTATTCTTCCTTTCCTCTTCCCCCATACCACTAAGGGTGAAGAGGGAAGTGAGCAAGCGACTGTGTGGTGCTTTATCTGCCCACCCCACTGAGGTTAATCCACAACAATTTTCTTTATGAAACACTTTTCTTTAACACTCACTTTTTTTTTTTCTTTTACTTTAAAACAAATAATAATAAACACTGGGAATAAACACTGTCTAACCTTTGAGGGTGAAAACCATATGCTGGCTGCCTTAGTGAGAAAATCAATCAATTGATACAGATAACATGACTTTGGATACAGTGTTCAAAAGACTTCATATTTTGCTAAATTAGGCACTAAAGCAAGTTCATGCCTATTACTACATAAAGTATGAATTCAGTCTGAAGCATAGTCACCTGAGATGATATTAAACATCCTTGGGTTCAGGATAGCAGGACAAATCAGTCGAAGAAAAACAAAGCCACTGAAATGGAAAAAAAAAGTATTTTGTTCAATAATAAAGTTTAAGAATTAATGTAAAATTATGTAGTCTTTAAGCATTTAAGTCAGTGTGGAAATCTTTGTGATACAGATGACAAACAACCAGCTTGCGCTCCATGAATATGTTTGTTAATTAAGAATGCCTTGTTATGATTTCAACTATGATAAAAACTGAAATAAAAACAGGCATATCGATTTCCCAATTAAGGTAAACCTCTGAAACCACCTGGGAAAAGCTTAACTGTAAAGCCATACTGAAGCCTGTAGTCTAAGACCACACTGGCTTTAAAAAGGAGAAGCACTTCCTCTCCTGCCTCTCACAAGTGTTCCACCATCTACTACAGCAACTATTTCATCCTGCAGCCAGCCACTCACTTCCCCAAGCCAACATAAGGAGAGCAAGAGTGCACAGTGAGAATGGAACCTCTCTTTTGGCAGCAACATGGCCTTAGTTCAGCTTGAACCGATCCATATCCTGATAACAGTACACTATTATCCTAGAAGAATAATACTGGATCAACTGCTTTCCTCACAGAAGTAATTGCTGCCACCCAGACAATCTAGAAAGCTAGGGAAAAGTGCTCAGTTTGACTGCAGAACTAGGAACTTATTAAACAGAAACCCAAAATAGCCTTCAGTTTAGAATGAGAAAAATCTAATTTTATGTTGACAGCTGAAGTAAAAAATATCCATTTCAGGTTAACCATAATTCTGGAAGACTGCTATAAAATGAAGTGACATATGGACCAACTAAAGCAATCTAACTCACCTCTCATTTTGTTCAGAGTGCGTGGACACTACCAGCAGACTGTTTTTTCACTACAGCAATACCAAAGAATGGAAGCGGACCTTGCACTACCTTGCTTGATAAGTATACAGTGATGGCATTGTCCTTTATTAATTGGAAGTGACACATGTGGCAGTGAGGTTAACACACCTTTCATGTGTCCAAGACACTTGAATTCCAAAATATACTGTTATAGAAGTTTCCTATTTCTCCAAGAACCATGGATTATTGGCTGACAAAACACTCCTGGCCCAGTATGAAACAAAAATATTTTCTATGAGATGAACTTAAAGCTATGAGGAAGTAAATAATTTTGAAGTCATGGCGCACATCAATTTTCTCTTGTAGATGGCCTGAAGTTGAAGACAACTGGGGTATGAACCTAAGATGGACCTTGCAGATACAGAAGATTTGGTGCTTCTTACACTGGTCAAGCTGTCTAAATTAAGAATGAGTCAATACCTGTGCATGGGTTTTTACAACCAGAAAGAAATGGCAGCACTCTCTGAATGATATATAAGGGAAGCCACCCAGACACTTATAGAATCATAGAATCATTATGGCTGGAAAAGACCTATAAGATCGCCAAGACCAACTGTTATCTAACTCTACCGGGCCCACTTCTAAACCGTGTCCCTGAGGACCATATCTAGATGGCTTTCAAATACATCCAAGGATGGCGATTCAACCACTTCCCTGGGCAGCCTGTTCCAGCATTTAATAACCCTTTCACTGTACAAGTTTTTCCTAATGTCTAACCTAAACCTCCCCTGGCGCAAGTTGACACCATTTCCTCTTGTCCTATCAATTGTAACTTGTGAGAAGAGACCAACGCCCACCTCTCTACAACCTCCTTTGAGATAGTTGTAGCAAGCAATAAGGTCTCCCCTCAGCCTCCTTTTCTCCAGGCTAAACAACCCCACTTCCCTCAGCTGCTCCTCATAAGACTTATTCTCAAGACCCTTCACCAGCTTCGTTGCCCTTCTCTGGACCCTCTCCAGCACCTCAATGTCCTTATACTGCGGCGCCCAAAATTGAACACAGTACTCAAGGTGCAGGCTCACCAGTGCCGAGTACAGGGGAACAATCACTTCCCTAGCCCTGCTGGCTACACTTTTCCTGATGCAGGCCAGGATGCCATTGGCCTTCTTGGCCACCTGGGCACACTGCTGGCTCATGTTCAGCCGTCTGTCAATCAACACCCCCAGGTCTTTTTCTGCTGGGCAACTTTTCAGCCACTCCTCCCCAAGCCTGTAGCACTGCATGAGGTTGTTGTGGCCCAAGTGCAGGACTCGGCACTTGGCCTTGTTGAAGCTCATACCATTGGCCTCAGCCCATCGATCCAGCCTATCCAGGTCCCTCTGAAGAGCCCTCCTACCCTCAAGCAGATCGACACTGCCACCTAACTTGGTGCCATCTGCAAACTTACTGAGGGTGCTCTCAATCCCCTTGTCGAGATCATTAATAAAGATATAAACAGGAGTGGCCCCAACACTGAGCCCTGTGGAACACAACTAGTGACCGGCCACCAACAGGATTTATCTCCATTCACTACCACTCTCTGGGCCTGGCCATCCAGCCAGTGTTTGATCTAGCAGAATGTACGCCTGTCCAAGCCTTGGGTAGCCAGTTTTTTCCTGAGAATGCTGTGTGGAACAGTATCAAAGGTTTTACTGAAGTCCAGGTAAATAATATCCACAGCCTTTCTCTCGTCTACCAAGCGGCACTTACAAACTATCCACCTGTCTCTGAATATCTAATCATACTTGGACCAAAACCAGTGCAATAAAAGATAATATTCTTCACTGGAGGCTGCAAAAAAAACCCCTGTATTCTAGAGACAAGTCACAAGTATCCACTTACGAACGCTAAGATGATGAAAGGGACTGAATATTTATAGTAACCAACAGAGACACCAGGAAAATTCTGAATGTCAGCTGTATCCACTTAAGGAAAGCCACATGGCACTCTCTGGAGATGGGAAGGAACAGAAAGAGACATGGTATTTGCTTCGAAGTTCTACATCCTTGCAATAGGCTAGCCCCAACACCTCTAAGAAGAGCAGCCTCAATTTGAAGGCAAAACCCCTGCAGAACACTGTTGAGTCACTATTGTTACAAACACTAAATGACAGCATGGAAGGTACTGTACTAATTACACTAACATTTACTGAAACTCTGGGGAAGAAAGGGCTTTCATGTCTTCATTTCTGTCTCCAGCCAAAGTGATACACAAGAGCCAATGACAAATCATCTGGAAGACACTGTTCAATGGGAGATTAACCTCAGCAAACCATATCAGTGCCAGATATTGGTCTACCAGCAAACTAGGCTTGCAAAAAAAAGGTAAAGCAAATGTAGAAGGCACCAGTATCATTTAGAACAACAGTGCCAAGACTCATTTTTGTCAAAGACTTTTTTGACCTGCACTGGAAACTGATAGTGTGTCCTGGTTTCAGCTGGGATAGAGTTAATTTTCTTTCTAGTAGATGCTGTGTTTTGGATTTAGTATGAGAATAATGTTGATAACACATATTGTTTTAGTTGTTGCTAAGTAATGTTTATGCTAGTCAAGGACTTTTTCAGCTTCCCATAGAAGCTGAGAGGGAGTGTAGACAGGACAAGCTGGCCAAAGGAATATTCCATACCATAGACGTCATGCTCAGTGTATAAATGGGGGTTGGCTGGGGAGCAGGAATTTGCGATCGCTGCTCAGGACGGGCTGGGCAACTGATCATCGGGTGGTGAGAATAACTTGTATTGTATCACTTTATTTTGTATATTCTTTTATTATTGTTGTTGTTATTTTTTTCCCTCTTCCATTACTGTTCTATTAAACTGTCTTTATCTCAACCCACAATGTTTTTTTCCCCCTCCTTTTCTCCCTCTTCTCCCTACCCAACTGGGGGAGGGGGTGGGAGTGACCGAGTGGCTGCGTGGTCCTAGTTGCTGGCTGGGGTTAAACCACGGCATAGCGTTAAAGGAAGAACTATTTATTCAATTGATTTATGAATGCAGACTGGAGCTTTTGTACTCAATGCCAGTTCAGAGGAGCCAGGTTCAGTAGCCTGCAACATTTTTAGAGGCTCTGGAATGTTTCAACATGATTGGGCTAGAGCAGAGAAATGAAACAAAACTGGGACAGCACTAAAGTACTTAGTTTCAGAAATGAACACTGTGTTGATTCTGAGTGATCAGCACTGGGAGTCTTCACTAATGCAGAGAACTATATATTCCAATGCAGACAGTACCTCAGTGAAATCTAATGACAGTCCAATCACCTTTCTGAGAAGGTGTTAGTTTCCTTAGCATGTTATGTCTGCATTTTAAAGGACATTCATCTTAGCATGTATAAGATTTTTCCAATAATTAACACACACTACATAGGAGTCCCTGGATAAGGCACGGTCCTCCCAGATGGCATGACAGGAATATCATCTTGAGAGATCGCTGCTCTCCAGAGGTAACACAAAGGTTAACTATCACTTTGAGAGAACCTTTTCTCTTTCCCAACATGAAAAAGGAAATCAATATTTTAGATTAGTTTGTAAAACTTAAAAAATACAAGTAAATTCAAAGTTAAAGCTATCAAGTATAGCTATACTGACCTCTATACTACACCTCCAGAAAGGCTCCAACAGCATGACTAAGAATCTAGCAAGCTCTCAGTCCTTAATTGGGATATCATGCCCCAGTACCATGATAATCTTAAATATTCTTGTAACCTATATAAGTATTATAAAGTTTTGGCACTAAAAGAAAAAAATAGATAAGCACACTGAAGTATGACAGTAATAAGACGTTAAAATATTATTTTCAGCATAGAAAAAAGTGACAAGTAACTTACCTAACAACTCTTGTTCTCATTGTGGTATTAGCTGGCCACTTGTTTTGAACAGACTTCTGCAAGCATCCATAAATATATCTCAACGTCCTGTAAAAATAATAGCTAATTATTCATTTCATTTAAAAACTTCACTGATAAAAAAAGCTGGTCAGAAAGGATCTAGTCCAACCTCCTGCTTAATATAGAACTATGATCAATGCTAGGTTTATAATTGAGACATAACCTTTAAATTAATTTAAAATCTGCTATAACAGTCCATTTACAAATGGCAAAGAAAGTCCTTGACTAATACACTATTCTATTTGTGCAGGTAAAATTCTGCTTATTCACATGTCCGTTAAATGTTTTATAACTTTTTTTCCTATTTCTTAGGTAGTGTTTCCATTTAAAAAATGAAAAAAAAAGATGGTTTGGTGGATTTTTTCAACTTATCCACAGACCATTTTGACTCCAGCTCATACTGGAATTCCTCCATGTCCAGTATTCATTCAGGCCACAATATTCCACTGTTGGACTATAGTCTCCACCCTCCGTCAGACTTTTGCAGGCCATATGGAACTATTCAAGGGTGACTGAGTCTTGCTGATCACTCCTTGACTCTCCAATTGATGAATCAGCTCATGGAGGGGAACCAGGGAGTCTTGGTGTGTGTGATATTGCCACTGGTTCAGTGTGGCACCTGCTGCTCTTCAACACACAGCAACCCCCCCAACAGAAGGGTCCTGCAAGAGGCCAGGCAAGGTAGACAACCGTTTAATCTTCTCTGCATCCACAGCAACTACACCAAAGGCCCACCAGTATCCTTTTGGGTCCTTGAAGTACCCTCTCCTGAAATAGTCTATGCCAAAGATACATGGAGCCTCTGAGCCAAGTCACAATAACATACTTCTGCCACTTATCCCCTGTAAGGCTTACCTCAGCCTCGAACACAGACAACTGTTTGGATCCCCTTGTCACTCCAGAAATCCAGATAGGTTCCAACCCCTTGTACCCTAATGGCATTAGGGTACACTGTGCACCCATGTCCACCAAAACCTTATACTCCCATGGGTCTAATGTACCAGGCCATCGAATCCACACAGTCCAATAAACCTGGTTGTCCCTTTCATCTGCCTGGCAGGATCCCTCTCTTCTTGATTGGAGCATTCATTACCCAACTCCTGTAATTGCAAACCAGAAGTCCCTTCATTAGGATCAGAAGGAGGATCTGCCCTTCTACTGTGTCTGGAGAATTGCTCAACAGCAACTGGAGCAGTAATCTTCTCTGTATGGAGCTTTTTTGGCTGCTGTTTTTCCTTTCCTTGCAATTCACATATGTGGTCTTCTAGGTTTGAGGTAGGTACAACACCCCACTTCCTCATGTCTTCCCCGTGGTTGCAGAGCTAGAACCACAGGGTGGCACATGGTGTGTGCCCACAGTTCCCTTTCCCTTGAGCAGAGAAAGGCTGATTTCATATGGCGCTCTGGATAGCTGAGACACCAGATTGCAGGGGTAAGGAGAAAGAGATATTCCTTCAAGTTGCTGGAACTGTTGAGACAGTTTCTCCACTGTCCTGTAGGGTCAGGGAGGAAGAGAGATGCTCTTCAGAGCACCAGAGCTGGCAGGCCAGTTTTTCCACAGTTGATGCTTCAATCTCTGTCCAGTCCATTATCACCAGGGTGCTGGCATACAACATCGGTGCATTCCATACAAACTTCCACCATATGGACCGCAAATACTGGACTTCATCTGGATCTTTGGAGGCCTGGTTATTGTCCAGGTTGCTGTAGGCCACCTCCACCACTGTTAATTCCCAGAGATACTGAATACCTTCCTCAATCATGGTCCACTTGCCTCGTTAGTTTACAAGACCTTCCTTGAGGGATACCCTTGCCTTCACGCTTGACAGGAGCCAATTCCAGAGGCTGTGGATTGTTGTTCCTCTTTCAGTCCCTTTGTTGACTCCATGGTCCCTTGCTAGGGATCCCAGCTGCTGGTCTTCCCTACCTTCTAATTCCTGACTTTTGGCCCCAATACCCCAGCATTGGAGCAACCAGGTGATAATTTGCTCATCTGGCTGGTGGCCATAATCTTTCCACATATCTCGCAGCTTGCTCATGGTTAGTGTGGTTTCTGACTCATTTATGATTTCAGTCTCTTCCCTCTCCTGTTCTTGTGACTGCACTGCTGCAGAACAGGCTGCCTCTTCTGATTCTTCCTCCTGCTCTGCCCTCAGGAGGGATTTCTTCCTCCCTTACTAACCAAATCAATCTCTACTTCCATTGTTTCTTCTTGACTATAGGAATGACTGTTATAGTTGAGGGTTGGGTCTCTGGTTTAGCTACAGTGACTGTTTGTATGTCCTTAGATACGGAGACCCTCTTGGAGCCCTTCAAGTGCTGAACAGAGGTTCAGTAGGGGTAGAGCAGGCTCCAGCACAGCGCAAGAAGTTGTGTCTCTGATATAGACAAAGCATTATTTCTTCAAGTGTTCTGTCACTTCAGTAGCATTCCATGCCTGTTCAGGTTTCAAGTCCCACACCGCTGTTGAGGGGAAACACTCTAAGTACCTGCTCGAGTTCTCACACACACCTTGCCACCCATGACCCATGTGCCTCAGGGCACATCCCTGTGTGGCATTCCAAATTAGTCAGTTACCCTTTTAAAGAGCCAGAATTAGATTCACGACACATAGCAATATAAGCATTCTGGTTACACAAGGATATTCCAGAAACTGAAAAGCCATTGTAACAAAGCCATTGTAACAAGGCTACCCCTGAGAAGAAAGAGGAGGTTCCATTCTTCATTTCCCCCATAAAATGGCTCCCGGAGAAGAGGAAAAAGGCGTAATTGTTAATTGTCTCTGAGAGGTGGTTTCCAGAGTACTGGGGCAATAGCAATGCATGGCACAAACACCAGATTAGGCTCAAGGCCAGTGCTTTTACCATAGCTCTCCCAGGCAAAACACAACAAAGTGATAGACAGCAAACTGCAAAAGCCAAAAGCAGCCATTAATGAGCTCTAGAGTTTGAGGTAGAGCAAGAGATGGAGCATGCCATGGAGCAGATGATGGAACAAATAAACCAGTATCAAGAACAAACAAGTCAACACTGTGACCAGCAAGAGCAAGTAATAACTTGCCAAGTAATAACTAAACAGCTATAACAATTATAAATGTAGTCTAGCACACTCAGATCAAATCTGTCATTATCTAGAACCTCTCAAGCCCCACATTGGGTGCCAGAAAGGACTGTGTTGGGTTGACCCTGGCCAGCAGCCAAGCCCCCACCCAGTCACTTGCTCACTCCCCCTCAGCAGGATAGTGGAGAGAATTGGAAGGGCAAAACCAAGAAAAACTCATGGGTTGACGTAAAGCCAGTTTAATAGGTAAAGCAAAATCTGCACATGCAAGCAAAGCAAAATAAGGAATGCATTCATGACTTCCTATCAGCAGGCAGATGTCCATCCACTTCTGGGAAAGCAGGGCCTCATCATGCATAACAGTTACTTGGGAAGACAAATGCCATAAACCTGAACACCCCCCTTCCTCCTCCTTTCCCCCAGCTTTTATTGCTGAGCATGACATCATATGGTATGGAAAATCCTTTTGGTCAGTTGGGGTCAGCTATCCTGGTTGCATGCCCTCCCAACCTCTTGCCTACCTCCAGCCTACTCGCATTTTTTTTAGGGGGTGGGGGAACAGCAGGCACCAGCTGAGTGATGTAAATAAGGACAAAAAAAGGAAACCACACTGCCAATACTGTTCAGCAGTAGGCAAAAAACCAATTTGTTGTCAATGCTGTTTTAGTCACAAATTCAAAACACAGAACCATACCAGCTACTATCAATAAAATTAACTCCATCCCAGCCAGACCAGTACACAATGCAAAATTCAGTGTTTTGTTTACATTAAAAGCTAATGATAAAAAAGTGAAAGAAAACTGTTACTGCTACACACTTTTTATTCAATGGTTTCAGTCTAAACAAGCTAGTTTAGGTTTTTTAAAAAAAGGAAAAGAATAACCTGTGCATTTCCCCAATAGAAGTAATCACAGCAGGGTGTCATTCTACTACCACCTAGTTGTATTTTTAATGTTGTTAATAATTTAATCTCTTTTTAAGAGTATGAGGACTGGAAAGAATTGGTAACCAACTTAAATATATACAACTGTCTGCTAACTAGTACTATCCTCTACCTCTTTGTGGAGATAATATATTGATATTTTAATTTTTTTCTTCTTTCCCTGACCCCTTGGATCTAGTAGCTGCTCCCTCATAGAAAAGCTCATGTGCTAGCCAAAAGCTTTTGCACCATATTGGATTTGCATGGCAAGGTTTTGGTCGCAGGGGGGCTGCAGGGGTGGCTTCTGTGAGAAGGGGCCAGAAGCTTCCCCTATGTCCAATAGAGACAATGTCAGCTGGCTCCAAGACAGATCCGCTGCTAGCCAAGGCTGAGCCAATCAGCAATGGTGATAAAGCCTCTGTGAGAACATATTTAAGAAGGGGAAAAAACCTGCTGTGCAACAGCAGCTGGGAGAGAGGAGTGAGACTATGTGAGAGAAACAACTCTGCAGACACCAAGGTCAATGAAAAAGGAGGGGGAGGAGGTGGTCCAGGTGCCAGAGCAGATCTTCCCCTGCAGCCCGTGGTGAAGACCATGGTGACACAGGGTGTCCCCCTGCAGCCCATGGAGGTCCACAGTGGAGCAGATATCCACCTGCAGCCCATGGAGGACCCCATGCTGGAGCAGGTGGATGCACCCAAAGGAGGCTGTGGCCCTGTGGAGAGCCTGTGCTGGAGCAGGTTCCTGGCAGGACCTGTGAACACGTGGAGAGAAAGGAAGGAGCGGCAGACACAACATGTGATGAACTGACCACAACCCCCATTCCCTGTCCCCCTGTGCCACTCAGGAGGGGGAGGAGGTAGAGAATTCGGGAGTGAAGTTGAGCCTGGGAAGAAGGGAAGGGTGGGAGGCAGGTGTTTTAAAATTTGGGTTTCTCATTATCCTACTCTGGTTTTGATTGGCAATAAATTAAATTAATTTCCCCAAGTCGAGTCTGTTTTCACCCGTGATGGTAATTGCTGAGTAATCTCTCCCTGTCCTTATCTCGACCCATGAGCTTTTCGTTATATTTTCTCTCCCCTGTCCAGCTGAGGAGGGGGAATGATAGTGTGGCTTGGTGGGCACCTAGCATCCAGCCAAGGTCAACCCATCACATGTGCAAAAAGTACAATTCATTCAAGTGTTTTTGTTTTTTTTCTCTGTACATATAACAGCCCTAAAGAAATTAGTCTTCAGATTGATTAGTATAAGATAAACCAATAATAACACTATTTTATGGTGCAATGTAAATCACACAAACAGGAATTTTCAAGTACAAATTTGAACAAAAGAGTGCAAACTTACGGAGGCAGTATCTCTGCAGCCATGAATATTTTCTCCACCAATTCTGAAAGTATACTGAGTAGATGTGCCAAATTAGTGTTTACATCTTCATTTTTTTCTAATTTTGAGGGATTTAACTAAAAACGAAAGGAAAAATTATTAACTTTCTTCTCTTGAATAGAACTACATATATAATTTGATAATATTACACACTGAATATTATTTCAAAATAAATTAAATATTCCACTGCTGTACAAATCTCAGACTTGTACAGAACTTACAAATCTGCTTCAAGGTCTAGCCAGGAAGCTAATGTGAAAAAGCAATGTCTTTAAGTTCTAGTGCACTATGCTTTTAACAGCACAGGCATTTAACACTATCCATAACTACCCATCTTTTTTTAACTACATATATTTTCATATCTTTTAATCCAGTCTTCTGAGGACACCGCTCCCCCTTTCCATAATTAAGTTCAAGTGAAACAAAAGTTAGGAGGGTTGTTTTAGAAATAATGATCGGATCTAACACAAGCAGTTAATGTAATGCGGTTTTAAAATGAAACTAAGTTCAGACATTGACTTCTAGTATGTCTGGTGCTTAACACAAGTTATTTAGGCTAGGCCATTCAGTAACTGCTACAAAAGAACCTACAATTGCTAAAGAATAAATACATAATTTAAAGACATTTGAGTTAAAAAACTTATTTAAAAGTGATGCTATGAACATTGTTAAAGCTAACATTTAGAAAACACCTCATAATCAGTTCAGTTCTGGTATTGAAATTATTTCTGAAGGATTAATAAATGCTTACAAAGCAACCAACCAGTAGATCACCATTTCAACATATCAAAATTTTAAAAAAACATAGTTCAAGGTATCACCTCACAGGACTGCTTGCTCTCCATTATCTTTAATATAGAGTCTTTCAGTGCATGGTGAACAAAACTGGTTGCTGTGGCTTTCATATACTGCTCCATAAGTGTACTTGCTAAAGTGGTGGCACGAAACAAAGTAGTTGCTTCATCTAAAAAAAATAAAGTGAAAAGTTGGGAAAAGGAGACAACAAAAAGCAGAGGAAAAAATATGCTGTGTTCACAGTTTCATATATGATGTAATTAAGGGAGGAGACAAACGAAGACATGGGGGCCCTTCCTTCCCCAGAGTTTCAGTAAATGTTAGTGTAATTAGTACAGTACCTTCCATGCTTATTTCCCTGTCATTTAGTGTTCGTAACAATAGTGACTCAAGCTTTTCATGAAGAAAAATCTTCAATAAAATGCCAGCCAACAGTGTTCTATCCTGTCCACAAACATGTGATAAGGCATAGACTACATGCATCTCTTTCTGGAGTATGAGCTGAAAGAAAACCAAAATAATGTTCAGAAACTTGTCCTAACATAACAGTCACTACAAATACTACTTAGCAATGTCTATTAGTGTTATTGAAATCTCTCTCAAACAACAGAGAAAGTGAATTTGACAGAAAAACTGAGGAAACAAACTTAATACCTCTTTAAACTCACTGTACTCCTCTTCTGGCATGATCTTCTCCATAGAATATCGTGCTCGAACACGCAAAGATCCTGGCTCAATACCCTTCAATGGTATATGGGAACTGAGTTGAAACCACTCATCTGTTGCATGTCCTTTCTGTAATCGGCTTAATTGGCAACGCATAAACACTTTAGGAAAAAAACATTAGGCAGGTTATTTCCAGCAAAACAGTGCTAGTATTGAATAAAAAAAGTTTTCAGCACATCATCTGTTTGTTTTGTTTTGTTTCCACAAAAGAGTATTAATAAAAATGATCAAAATTTGTGCCATCAAATATATTGGCAGATTATCTCTTAGATGGTTTAAGACTCCTGAAAACTGAAGCTGAAATATAAAGCATTCTGTAAATAATGTATACACACAGATATTAACAAAGTTTTCTTTTTAACACCCAAATAGGGGAAAAAGCCCCCCTCTCCCCCAGCTACCTAGCAAACCTAGGCAGCAATCAGAAAATTAAAACAGGTAAAGTGATTAGAATAATTACTAAGCAATGACCTGCACCAGCCTATTCAACCATAACTGAAAGTTTGTTCTGACAGTTGACTAGTAAGATGCAGCAGTCAGACCACCGACCATTCCAAAATAAACACATGCCCGCCTGAACTGAGTTACTTCACACAGAAAAGGCCCAGATGCTTGCAAAGACACCATTCTACCTATGATATACCCACAAAGTTCCAAGAGGAGATACACAGTTTCAGTTTCACATTTAGCCTGTCAGACTGTCTGGAACTTCCAAGCAAACACTCTTTTTCTACAACTCTCCATGAAAAAGCCAAATTAGCCAGACTCTTCTCGGTGGTTCCCAGTGACAGGATGAGGGGCAACAGGCACAAGTTGGAACATAGGAAGTTCCGTTCAAATACACGGAAAAACTTCTTTACGGTTAGGGTGACAGAGCACTGGAACAGGCTTCCCAGGGAGGTTTAAACTTAAGTTTACAGTGAAGCCTTTGTTGAACCCAACGAGAACCAACCAAAAGCATCCACTCCCTCAAAAAAATCCCCTAAAAATATTTACAGTTACTGTTTCAGAATAAAAGTCTATCTAAATGTTGACAAAGAAGAAATTTCTCAATACATGGACTTACTAAATTCTGGCTTTCCCACCCACAGCTCAGTGACGTGTTAGCACAATCCATTTACAAGGCAGTGAGAAGCTCTTAAGGACTGGAACCTCTTACACTTCTGTGTACACACTGTGTTCTTCAAAGTTCTTTGTTCTCCATAGTTTCTCGCCCTTGTCCAATATCCACCCATGTCTATATGAGTGTTTACTATATACTTTGCACTTAATGTGGTTAGCACATATTTCCTGGAGAGTATGGGATGGAAGGAGCCAAGTCTATAACCAGCCATAGTAGGCTTATTTCCCAGTGCCACAAAAGTGATAAATGTGTAGCACTGTGACATTCTTTTTCCTCCAGCTGCATATTCTCAAACACCAATGTCAAAAACAAGCTGTGGCACTACTGCAAATACAAATTGCCTGAAAGGAGAGACAGAGGCAATGTGCACTCTCACCCCAGAAAGCCAATTGCATCCTGGGCTGCATCAAAAGCAGCATGGCCAGCAGGTCGAGGGAGGTGATTCTGCCCCTCTATTCCGCTCTTGTGAGACCCCACCTGGAGTACTGTGTCCAGCTCTGGGGCCCCCAACATAGGAAAGACATGGACCTGTTGAAGTGGGTCCAGAGGAGGGCAACAAAGATGATCAGAGCACTGGAGCACCTCTCCTATGAAGACAGGCTGAGAGAGTTGGGGCTGTTCAGCCTGGAGAAGAAAAGGCTCCGGGGAGACCTTATTGCAGCCTTCCAGTACTTAAAGGGGGCCTACAGAAAAGATGGGGAGGGATGCTTTCTCAGGGAGTGTAGCAATAGGACGAGGGGTAATGGTTTTAAACTGAAAGAGGGTAGATTTAGATTAGATATTAGGAAGAAATTCTTTACTGTCAGGGTGGTGAGACACAGGAACAGGTTTCCCAGGGAAGTTGTGGATGCCCCCTCCCTGGAAGCGTTCAAGGCCAGGTTGGATGGGGCTTTGAGCAACCTGATCTAGTGGTAGGTGTCCCTGCCCATGGCAGAGGGGTTGGAACTAAATGATCTTTAAGGTCCCTTCCAACCTAAACCATTCTATGATTTTACTCTATGGACTTGACTGCAAGAGGTGACTGTCTCTAGTATAAAAATGTTTTCTTTTTCAACGTGAATTAATCTGAAATTAACCAACTATCCTGGTGCAAAACCAAACCAGAACTTCCACTCCAGCTGAACCCTACGTGGAACTGCCCTGAGACATTTACTGATTTAACTGTCTGACCAAATTTGAGCATCCCAATTATCAGTAGCAACAGATGAAATCTAACAATATATTCCAGAGGTTTTCTTTTTGTGTTTTTTTCTTTTTCCAAGCCATATTTATATACTTATTTGAATAAATTATTAACAAACTGTTAGAGAAACAAAGTAGAATTGATGCTAAAGCGTTTAGTATAATTTCTGAATATTTGAAATACCTTTTAAAAGCAAGAATACAAAAATAATAATGGAATTAATAGTCTGTGGAATTTGGATAATGAGGTGAATTCTCTGTGCTCAAAGAATGATTAAGACTGGCCTCGCTATCTCTAGTGCAACCTGGGGGACTGGAGACTTGCCGGGCTAGCACGGGATGCAGATAAGGAGGGAGCCCAGTGTAGGCAGGACAGCCCTGCTTTTCGTCAGCAAAGGCAAGATAACCGGAACCTGTGTAATTCTTTGTTTCTTCGAAAGGCTATCATGCCCTATGACTGACCTCTGCCTCATTACCTGTGAAATGCATATTAAAGTTGACACCCCTGCATATGCTAACGAAGATTACAGAGATCATGCTAAACATATATGACTATATCACTCGTCTCTCCACCCAAATCATTCTACGTGTCAGCTGGGGGGGAACTCATAATTTTGGGGATAAAAAGACAGAGAAAATTACTCTTAAATTGGGAGAGAAGAACCTCGATGCCTGACAGACCAGTTGATGGGCTGCATTCTCTTCCTCCACCCCAGGCAGGGACACCTTTCTGGGTAAGCGCTGTGCCTTTTACCCTCTGGTGAATGTTACCCCCAGGGTGTTGTATTATTATTATTTTTGCTAGCAATATTAACCTTAATTAGTAGCGCTATTGTAGTCAGTGAATTTATCAACAGCAATCTCAAATCTGTTCTGTCGCTCTCAATAAAATAACTAATTTAGATTTTCATGAATCTGACTCAGTGAAAGTCCTTTCCTGGGACTCTGATAGACAAATCAGTGAAAGTCCTGGGACTCTGACAGACAAATATCAAAACTACATTCCTTTTAATGCGACAGTAAAATTGGCATCACGGACAGGATTGCCATGGATAAACTGCTACAAAAATATAAATGTGCACCATCCCAAGTGAGACTAGAGTGGGCCCAGAAATTCTGGAAAGATGAAGATAAAATAATAGAGCAAATCGAACAGTGCAGGAATGAGCAGAAGGTTAAAGATGGTAAGGGTAAAGGAATTGTCTGCGTGATTTTAGGAGCTTGTTTATCATGTGCGCAGAAGGAGGCTAAGGAATCCCCTCCTCCTGAATGAATTGCAGATGTGGAATATGTTACTTTAAAGTCATACAATGAAGTGTTACAGAAATCACTAAATTTTGAATGGTCGTGGTTTGGCCTCAGCCAGCAACAAAGAA